ATTTGCCATTACAGGTAAAAGATGTGAGATTTGAATTGATGGTGATGGATGCAATCATGCTAGTTGCTGTAGATGAAAAAAAGTAGTAATTGCCACGATTTGATTGTATTATAAATTTTGGGGGCTGAATTAAGAGGCTTTGGGTGATTGATTTTTTCTATTTATTTATACATGATTTTTTTATTTTGTTCTCTTGAATATTATTAATATATATATATATATATTTGAGAAAAGTTATAAAGCAATTACATTAAAATAAATGAACATCGTATAGAACCATTTAAAAAAAAACAACAACAAAGGACCAAACAAGAAATCTACTAAAAACTTCAAACAACAAACAACAAAAATCCGTCAAAAAAATTAGCAAACCACTATCTACTTGTACGTGGAAAGGGATCGGAAACATGTACGATAAGGTAGATTTGTTTAGATTATATTATTAGAATTTAAAGATACTTCTTAAAGTTAAGCTTTCTTTAACCCAATTAGGCACCCAATTTAACATATCTGTTTTTTTCCCTTTCAAATCTATCATGTTTGAAACTCGTTTTGTATGAGCAATATAGACCCATTTTCTTTTTACATTTTTGTACCAAACCCCTCTCTTCTTATATTTTAGTTTATTATATTCATTGTTTTTTTCTGCTGAATGTAAACTTAAAGTACACATTGGGGAAAAATATTCTGGGGATTGCTTTATTAGCTAAAAAAGATAGCATGCTATGGTACCATTTAGATTTGTACCATACATTTAGTTATGAACTTATATGATTTTATATTATAACAATACCATTATAGTCATAACTACATCATATGATCAAGCCCAGCCATGTTGGAACCCCCTATGAGAGATTGTTCTAAGACGTAAAATCCCTAGTCAACCCATCATTGCACCCCACCACGCGCCTTCATTACTTCCCCTCATTGCCATCCCTTTGGCATTACATGGTCTAATTTATTTTTTTTATCACCCAAGTAGAGAGAGAGAGAGAGAGAGATAGCTTAATCCTCCAAGGTGACCATAAGGAACGAAAGAGCAACAAAAAGCACAACAAAAGATAATGACCTTCATAAACCCCTCCCACTTCCAACTTAGTTACTCCCACTCTTCCTAGCAGGATTAGCAACCATCCTTGGCTTCTTTCTCTTTCTTCTTTCTTTCTTTTTTTTTTTTTTTTTTTTTTTTTTGCTTCAATAGAAGGTAAGTAAAATGATAAACACAAGCAAATAATAAGAAAATATAAAAAAATAAAAAATCATCTGGATTGAAATAGAGTGATGATAGGATTACCTCCAAATTCATGTCAAATAACACATCTGACCGCATATCGAACTAGCAAATACACACATCTTGATTTTCCATTAAATAATTAAAAAAAATATCAAAATTACTTGATTCGAGAAAAACCTATTTTCACTCAAAACCTCAAACTTCAAAGACACTAAATTATTAATTACTTCTTATTTTTCTTTTTCTTTTCTTCCCCCCCCTCTTTGTTGTTTATTGCTTTCTACAAAAGCATGAAGATACATGAAACAGAAAAATGCCTTTAAAAAATTATTGTTCTTCTGTTTCTGGGGTTTTTGATTTATTGATTCATTCCAAACTAGAGTTTATATGGGTTTATGTGTGGTATGTATGGTCATGCTACTACACCCCTTTTGAGATGTGTACCATATGCAAATTATAACATTTGGCCTAATTTCCAAAGGATTTACACTCTAACATGTGTCCTAATTAATATGCTATATACTTATTAGAGTTCTATAAACCCTCATGTGTAATTGTAATTATTTTACATTTTTTCATCACTAATGATGCCCTTTCATATATGCTATTTTCCCACCACCTCATTAACTCTTTTACAAATAACAACTTCATTTTGGAATTTTTAAAGTTTTGACATGTTGGTTTATGTCTTTTAATTTTTTCCCCTCTCCCTTAGTTTTGTGTTTTGGTTGAAATGCTTCATTCCTTATTTTTGGCAGGTAAAAGGAGAGGCCAATACCTCTTACATCTGTGCTTATATTTCGATCGACGGAGTACACTACAGCTATTGACTTCTGGTTTGCTGGTTGTGTTGTTGCTGAAATACTTCTTTGACAGGTACATATTTTTTCCTACAAGGTCCTCTATGCTTCAATATATTTAAATTATATGGTATGCGTGATGGCCAAATTAAAAAGCAAAATATTTATGATATAACTTGTACAGTCACACCCTCATTCATCACAGTTTTTGTATTAAAAAAAAACTAAGACTAAAAGTATAAGGTCAAAGTTAAAAATTGTGACCTTTAACCAATTTTGTAGTAGTGCTCATATATTAGTATTATTTATTATGAATCTAAAGTATCAATGACAGAATAAATATAAATAATAAAATCAAATAATAAGCATAGCATTAATACAAGAGAAGCTCTATTCACAACCCAAGATTCAATTGTGAGTGGCAGTGGGTATAGCAGTATGCAAGGGTCCTTAGTGCACCAAATCTTTAGTTGGTGTATGTATATTACTGAATACAACTGTATCAAATCATTCTCCCGTTTTCTAATTTCTTGTATTTTGTATTCTAAAAAACAAATTGCTTTCCTAAACATTTATAATTTTCAAGTGCTTTATGTGGTTCAAGCCATCCCCAAACCCATGCAGAGAATAAAAAAAAAATAGCAAGATAAAATATGGGAAAGTGAACCACAACATAGCTAAAACCAAAGCAAGTAAAACCAGTTAATAAAGATATTCAACCTTCTAACTGTACACCTAAAGTGAGACTTGAAGGAGCAAAGGAGCTATACATAACCATGACATCGTTTTTTATTTTTTTTCTACAATAGTCCAAAAAATAAAATAAAAAATAATGTCATTTTTATTATCAATTCGTATGGTGCCAAAATATTTGGCTCCTTTTTGCAACAAAAAAATTTCCTTACCAAATTACAAATTTTGTCCAAAAAAATTAACTTCTTTAATCTATTTTTTATGCTAATGTGACCTAAGCTACTGGGGTATCATTTTTTGTTTATGATTAGAATTTTTTTTAGTGTCTTTCCTTTTTACATTGGAAACATAGTCTTTGTTAACTACATTATTATAAAACAAATCCATTCATGTGTGCATGTCGTGCATTTGATGAATGTACTATAACCTTTAAGATTTTTGTTTGTTTGTTTTTTTTCCTAATCAAAGATATTATGAGTTTATTTTTCTTGTGTTTCTTTACAAGGAATTCTGATTGAAGCCTAATGGATAAGCCGACTGATCCTACAAAGCGCCCGATCACTCCATTCATTTTCTTTTGGTATTTCGTTAATATCTATTTGTATGTAGTTATATATTTTCCATTATACGAATTCTTATATTCATTTTCATATGTTTATAGCCAAGAACAATCAATGGAGTTAAAAAAAACCCAAATGAAAGTAGATGTGAAGGTAAGTGCAACGTATTCTTGTTGTTTGTAGTATTCCTTTTGTACTTGTAAGCTTGTATGTAATTGTTCATATGATTTTATGCATGTAATGTAGGATATTGGGGACAAATGGAATCAACTTCCTGAAGAAGAAAAAAATAAGTATATACAAATGGGAAAGCTGCAATCTGAACAATATGCCCAATTAAAAACTGTGGTCCAACAAAAGCCTCCAAAAGTAAAAATTCAAACCCGGATTGAGCTTACATCAATTTGTAAGATTATTAGAAGGTTGGACAAAGCACAACAACAAGCAGTGAGTGATATGGGGTTTCATGGCATCCTAAGCCTTAGGTGCACGCACATAGATCATGACTTGTGTAATTGGTTAGTTCAGAACTTTGATCCTTCAACTCATTCATTGAATGTCCACGGTCTTCGAATGCTTCTCATCGTAGATGTTCATGAGTTGATGGGATTACCTTCCAATGGTCTACCTGTGAAGTTAACAGAGCCCGTAGATGAAATTACAAACCTATGTGATGAACTTGTGATGAAGAATAAATTTGTTCCGTTCACATCTTTGAAATCTTATCTGCTTGAAACAAAAGATGCTGGAACTGAATTTAAAAGGAAATTTGTCTTATACATCATTGGAGCCCTCTTGTGCCCCACCACAAAGGCAGGCGTACACCAATAATTCATTAAAATGGTTAAAAATGTTGAGTCCATCAGTCAATTCAATTGGGCAAAGCACACCCTTGATTTTCTTGTCGACCGCATTGCTATTGCCAAGGTCAAAGAGCGGTCTGCTATGTGCGGCTGTTTGCTTCTTCTAATGGTACTTCCCCTTGATGTGTAATTATTTCATCTATTATTTTTTATTGTATATTGTCTAACACGCATTAAAATGACTTCTTTTTTTATTTTTTTTTCCCATGTAGTTATTTTACTTGGAACAATTTGCTCGCAAAAGGGAGTTGGTGGCTATTTCCAACTCCATTCCTCGCTTATCCTATTGGGGCAATTCAGAAATTAAGCAGGGTTTGAATCAAATTAAAGCTTTGGGAGGATATTTAAATGTTGAGGTAAATATTTACAACACATGACTTTTTATAATTATAGCTCAATTTACATTACACCTGTGACATTAACAAGTTATTGTATATCTGTGAATAGGTGGCTTTGCCTAACATTGGTGAAAAGTCCAATGCAGTAACTCTTAGCCAGGGAAGAATTGACAAGAATGATGACTCCCGATTGGCTAAAGTTGAGAAACAAGTCATTGAAATTCATGCCCTTTTGGTCCAAGGCCACAAGGACACAAGGCAAGATGAGGATGAGAAACGTCTAACCAAAGTGGAGAATCAAGTTGAAAAAATTCTTCAGTTGTTAGAAAAACACATGCCAGTTGATGGAGAACAAGTTAAAACACCACCAGCCAAACTACTTGCGGAGCAGCGACTGGTCAAAATGGAGAACCAAGTTGGTCAAATTCTTGAGTTGTTAGAACGACGCATTCCAGTTGATGGTGGAAATGTTAAAACACCACCAAGCAAACTACATGAGGATCATCGAACTGACATTGAAATGGTTGGTGTCGATGATAGTGGTATCGAAAAGGTTGCAGCCAATTCCCCAAAGTTTGTAGATGAGGATGAGATAAGGAATATGAATGACAAAAAACCAATGGAAACTTTGCATTTGAGAAAAACAAAACCAATCCTCACACCACCAAATGCAAAGGCAGTTGCAAAGAAACGAGCCAAATTGGTTGGTGGGAAAGCATTAAATAATGAACAACTTTCTATTCCACAAAAGGGGAGATTGCGCACAAAAAAGAGCGATACAAAGGCAGTCGAAATGAATGCTGTAACAATGTCATCATCATGTAGTGTTGTTCGTGGTCCTCAGACTCGAGGGACCCAGAATTGCAAAGCCAGTCAGTGGTTGCGTACACCTTTTGTGAAATTTGATGTAAAGAAGAAACGACCACAGTTGAAGCCATCGTCAACTAACAACAACATTGACAATAATATTCATGACAATCTCGATGAAGTAAACTAAATGATTGTGTCTCAAAACATATTTGATATATGTGTAACAAATAGTGCTTGTTTCTTACTTTTCTTTTACTTGTATCAGCTATTTGATAATTTACTTGATCAACTTGGGGGTAATGTTGTTCCTGAAATCCCAAAGGTTTGGAACTAACTATTATAGTATCTTTTGTATATGTGGTTATTTTGCGCTAACATACACTAACCATCTTCATGAACATATACTAACCAAGCTTGATTTGTTTTATGCACTATTCTTCTCAATACCTTTACAAGTCATCCGTGCCTTTGCCAGACCCATTAAATGACTATGATAGTCTCGTTCTACGATATGCATTTGATGAATCTCTTTCAGAAGGGTACAATTTGACTACCTTTAACTTGTTATGTATGAAGTATTATACCTTCTAACTCACATAGTTATCCATGTGCTAGGGAATATCTTGTACGAATGAAACTGCACTACGTGGAAGCACAATCTGCAACGCGGAAGGAATTGTGGTCGTTGAAACCATATTAGTGGATATCCTCATGTGTAAGACTTTTCTCCTTCTCCTATTTTATTTGCTACCATTCCATCATCCAAGTTACTTTACTTTGCCTATTCATAAATTTCATATATTTTGCACTGCAGATTATAAATCTCATTGTTGTGAAATTGACAAATAAACAAAGGAAAAAGTTTCCAAATAAGGATCACATGGTTTGGTACTTTCCGACCCATGTATCGGTAAGTATTAGCCATACCTAAAGACTTTTTTCATTTAGGCGCAAGTTATTTATATGTTAAAATTGAATATGCAGCAAAAGATTTTGTGTCAACCTTCTGATGACACAATGAAAGATATAGTAGAAGATTATTTTGGAATTTACAGATACACTGGCCCCCTACATGCTTGTGAGGAGGTAACATGATAAAATACTACTATTACCCAATTTCCAAATTTACCATGCACAATAACATTTGATCCATGTTATGTATTTATTTATTTTTTGCATGTACATTCAACGTTATATTTTTAGATTTACATGCCCTTCAACCATAGGGAAAACCACTGGTTGTGCTTGAATGTAAACATGGAAAAACGGGTTGCCTATCTATTCGACTCTAGCAGATGTATTGACACCGATGAGGATCAAAAAAATCAAGCTACATTATTGGTAATAGAATAACCATTATGATACCGCTTGTATCCACTTTTTTGTTTCTTGATCTATGTACCTTACTACCTACCACCAACAGGTACAATCATTGCATAAGCTGCTTCAATATGCGCGTGGAGAAGATTATGTTCAAGATGTTAGTTCGTTTGCATTTCAATGGTTGGAAGACATGCCACGCCAAGACAACAGGTAATACACTACATTGTCATTCTTAATTTTTAAATAAGCATTAATGTTATAATCTCTAAGTTCGTTGACTCTATTGTTACAACTACACTCATTCCTATAGCTATGATTGTTGTCTTTTCATCATCAAATATATGCAAGGGAAACCTTTGCCTTCGGGTGTAATCAAGGTACTTACATTTATACCCAACTGTCCACTTATCAGTATCTTATGTTTTATGAAGACTAATTTTATAATGTGTGATGTTTTTACGTACTCACTACTTTTGGCATGTAGTTTGACTATTTGCATAGGGCTTGCTTGTTACTTGATCTTGTGATATACAAGCATAATTCAACTGATATTGTTGCTGATATCACGCAATATAAAGCTGGTTATGCTCTATTCTTTTTTATTTTTCATAAGTTCGTACAATCAATGACGTAATCGCATTTCTTAAACTTGTGAACTTTGAGTTTATAACTTAACCTTTGTTATAAAATTATATTCTCAAGTGTGCTATCTTGTGCAGAACTCAGAGCTAGGGGTGAATTGAAACGGAAGTAAAGGCCATACGACTTTTGTGATCTTGAAATAAGGAAAGATAGTGGATAAGGTTGTGGGAGCGAACAAAGACGAGTTGCTACCATTGAAATAGGAGCTCATTCGAAAGGAATAGATTCCTTTTTTCATCCTTTCATCTCCCATCACCCTCTCTATGAATAGCACGTTAACTTTACTGAATAACATATATATTGGCTAACATGGGCTGGAAATTAGATTTTGTTAGTGAGACCTATAATGGTATGTTTGTTTTGAAATACTTAAACTAGCATGAGTTTTGCAGATCTTATTGATGTTTGGAATGGATGGAGGCATTATCAATACATCATTACCAACTTCATACTGACTTTGTTGGTCATTTTATTAAGATAGTGCCAACCACTATTTATAGGATAAAAGAGTTGTGCTTGTATTGACCATTTTCTTCATTAAGACATGTTTATTGCTTTACGGCGTTTATTTTTCATGATTTCAAAAATAAAACTAATCATTTTTACTATTATGCAAAAACAGTTTTGAAAATTTCAAATAACAACATTAAAGTTTCTTATAAAAAGTATACTTCAAAAAAAAAAAATGTTGTCTGTTTTCGTTTTTTCTATTTTCGAGAATACAAAACATTAAAATAAAACAATACCAAAGTGTTTTAGCTTGTGTCTATTCATTTTTCTCTAGGAACCATGCAAGAAAAATAATGTTTTGAAAAATTCCTATGCATTCTTCCTTGAAACCCAACTAGGTTGCAAACGAACCGAATCAAAATTTTCAATGTTTAAGCTCGTTTATTAAGAATTAGTCGAACTCGAGCTTGAGCAAGTTTTAGTCGAGCTTCAAAAATCGAACTCAAGCTCAGCTCGTCAAATATTTGTTGAACTCGAGCTCGCTCAATTACATAAACGAGCCAAGTTCAAACTCGAACTTAAAAATGAATTAAATTTAAATTAATTTACTTATTAAAATTAAAAAAATACAAAATTATTATTAAAATATATAATAATACTTATATTAATAATAAATTTCAATTCGTTAGCAACCCTAAACCCAGCCCAACCAAACCCCAATAAGAAATTTTTGCTTCTCATTTTTTTTTAAATTAACTTTTTCCTTTCCTTAACAAATTCAAGAACCAAAAAAGATATCACAATTCAGGCTTCTCTAATTTTTCGTGGCTATATTATCTCAATCACTTCACAAAATAATTATATGTATCCCATACCTAAAATAAACGTAAAAGAGATAAAATATGGATAACAAAAACACATTTAACAAATTCCCAGTCAAGAGTAAATTCAGATACTTCGCAAAATCTGCTGTCAAGAATGGCAGAGGCAGCTACTTCTATAAATTAGAACAATACAGTGTGTGATACCAAATGATAGTTTGGTCATTTTCAAGAGAATATTTTATGGAAAAAACGATCGAATAATGACCTTCAATTTTCTATATGCACTTGCTGTTGTGCATTTGCTTTGAAAATGAGCAAAAACACTAAACAAAATGGCTATATAGCCTTTGCTAGTGCAACTGTGGTCTAAAATTTATATTAAAACCTTACACATATATACATCTTAAAGAATTAATCCATCAACGATATTAAAACCACACACATATATACATCTTGAAGTGTCTTTTGATGAACCTGGACGGAAGATCAACAATATTGAAAAGCAAGTTACTATTGCAAGGCAGTGTAGGATTTCTTACAACCTCGTTTGGTGAATGATAATTCCTTACAAAATTCTTTCTTCAAGGAAAAAAAGAAGTGTGCATACAAAATATGAACTTCCATACAGCAAAACAAATATCCATCAACCATCATTTAAGAGTATTTATACAAAATACTAACAGATTTAAGTCCTCAAAAAAAAATTTAAAAAAAATCTTAGTTTAGCTTCCAATATCACCCGCTCGATCATATCAACTATTACCCACAGCAACACCTGCAGAAACAAATTATATTGTCGTTAAGGTTTGTTCACTTGAAATCTATGATTCAAATCATAACAAATTGAATTTTGATATATTGGTCATTACACACTCTTTTGTCATTTTCTGTTCGTAAATTATTTATTTCCATAATCAAGTTGTAAACATCATAATCAGTTATGACATCTAAATGTTCTAGCTAAAATCTATCTTGGCATATCAACAAATTAGAATTAAGCAGCTACACATAAAATTTGCAAAGCAAATGTAAACAAAATGAACATAATTTGAACTGAAAAGATGCCATAAAAGTAATTACCTAGAGACGTATCCGCATCAGTGAACGCTGAATTTTGGACAACTTGTGCATCGCAAGTACGCAAGTCATTAACATCCTTGCTCAACTGCACTGGAGACGTATCCACATTAGTGACAAAAAGTCATCTCTTCACAGGGTGAATCTTACATGGCCTCATATTATTCCTGGGACGCTTCGGTGTAAAAGGGGTGGGAGTACCAATTGGATCATAATCATCGTATTCCTCAAACAAATTTCTACCCACTTGTCCCGTTTTATGATTGTTTTGGGGGCAAGTTCTCCTCGTGTGGCCGACGACCCTACATTGTCAAGTAAATCACCAATCATTAAAGAGAACAAAAATGCCAAGACAACCTCACAATAAAAAAATTAAGACACAGCACAATAATTCCTCAAACAAATTGCTAGCCACTTGTCCCGTTTTATGATCGTTTTGGGGGCAAGTTCTCCTCGTGTGGCCGACGACTCTATATTGTCAAGTAAATCACCAATCATTAAAGAGAACAAAAATGCCAAGACTACCTCACAATAAAAAAATTAAGACACAAAGCACAATATAATGTATACCTGCAACATTGGCATTGCCTTGGCTTTCGAGGTTTAGCCATGTAGGATCTCGCAGTATTCCCTTTCGTGTTCACTACTTTCAGATCCCCAACCCCAAATGGCGGTAGTGAACTTTTTCCTTCACCAACATTAGTTCTCTTGGCCATGCAAAGCTGCTTCATCCGACATGTCATAGTGAAAAATGCATTCCTAGCCTCTTCAAATCCTTCAGATGTTTGTAAGGCATAGTAACACATTTCAGTAAAAAAGGAGCAAAGAACCCCAAAGCGTGTCTCCTGTGTGAGAGTGCTAGAGAATTGGGCTTGGCAATGTTGTTCACCAACCTTTCTTGCTTGCTTTGTCCAACGATGCATCACACAACCTGGGGGAATTTCAGTCATGTGTTCACATTTCATTACAGAAATCATATGGCTGCAAGGAAGTCCAAAGAACTCAAACTTTTTGCAACTACATTTCATTATGCTAGTTGCGGGATGGTATGACACTTCCCATGTGGAACCAAATTCAGTGCACTTTGAAAATTTGTATATGTGATGATCGAACTCCTCTTTCCTTCCATCAAAAATCAACAATGCTTCCTCAATTATTTCATTACGGAACATTAAGAACAAACGTCTGGTAAAGATGGTTGCTGCATGTTTCTCTAGAGGCTGAAGTGCTATGGTAAGACAAGGATCACTGTTGTCAGTTTTTGCCTCGGCATCCGCTTCTTTGTTCCGTAACTGATAAAGGGCCATGTCAAAACATCTAACAAATTCGAATAGTTTCAGTTTTCGTTTGAGGCACTCATTGAAAAAAGCATGCATACCCTCACAACGCTGACTGCTCTTCATTCCAGCAAAAAAATGACCACGCAAATATGACTGAGCCCACATGCCTTTGTTGTTGTAGGTGTCTGATACCCACTTGTTATTTTGAAGGCCATAATTTCTAACCATCTTACTCCAAGCTTCCTCAAATACAACCTCATTCGCATCAAGATCCATGAGATGCTTGAAATGTCCCTCAAATCTATCAACTCGAACATTTCGCTTGGCATTTCTGTGCATATGCCAATTACATAGACGATGCTTGGCACTTGGGAAGACTTTTTGTATTGCCTCACGCATGGCCATATCCCCATCTGTCAACACTGACACTGGTCCTTTGTTATCCATGGCCTTTAACAACTTCTGCAAAACCCATGTGTATGTTGCAATTGTCTCATCAACAAGCAAGCTGCATGCAAATATGGTGGTTTCAAAATGGTTATTGACCCCGGCGAAAATAACAAAAGGTTTGTTATATGCATTCGTTTTATAAGTTGTATCAAAGACCAACACGTCACCAAATGCAGCATAGTCTAGGCGAGACCTTGAATCTGCCCAAAACAATTTGTCAAGCCGATTCTCTTGATCCTTGTCATACTTGTAAAAGAAGTAAGGGTCAGCATCAGCTTTTGCACATAAGTAAGCCAAAGCACACTCCACATCACCATCCTTCATTTCTACTTTGCGCTCGGCTTGAATATAATTGTGCAAATCCTTGTGAATAAAGCCCACGTTCGCGAAAGACCCAGATTGTTGCACCAACAAATCCATTATCTGGCTTGTCTTGACACCAACATCGTGCAAAGTCCTTACTTGAGCTTTGTCGGGGATCTTTACAAACCTATGCGACCGAAGAAATGGCACACATGGTGATGTTGCCAATGGTTGGTTATGTTCCATGTTAAAGTGAGTGACAATGTATTTGCCTACATCCAGATTGTACCTTATGCCGAAATGAGCATCACAACCAACTCTAGTCAATGCCCTGGTAGCTCTTTTTCGATCAATACGGGCCAAGTGTTGCTTTGCTCTTTGGCCTTGCCTTGAGCATACCCATTTTCTACTAAGAACCTTTGTTGCCTGCATTGTTCGCGTGCCTTTCCTAATGCTAAATCCCACAACTTTAGCATATTGATTATAGAAATCATTGGCATCCTCTTCTGAATTGAATTGCATTTCAAGAACATCATTCTTGGTTAAACTTTGAATAGGGTCATTTGCATGGGAACCTAATTCTTCTTTATTCCACAAACTTCGTCATCTTCAAGCTTGCGCTCAAATTTGGTACATCCAAAAGGATCCATGATAACTACATCAAAAACAATACGAAAAGAATAACATTATCTTATAAAATGAATGAAAATTCCTAAAATCACATAAGAGAATTTTTAGGTATTTGCATTGCTCTAAAACACACCTGCAAGTATAACGTTATACACTGTCCAACTTAGGCCAAGTTTGACAAACTAGGCCTTATTCATACCTTAATCTATGTAAGTATCTTTTAGTAATTATATATGCAAGCAAAATTTGTATATCAAATAAAGGAAATAGTAAGAACTCATCATTTCGCTCACATTTTTATCTTTTTCTTTTTAAATTTTTTTTTAATAACAAATGCAAAGTTTTGGATATGTACAATGACACAATTATATATAAGGTACTCAGGCAATAGGTTTATTTTTGAATCTTTTGAGTCGTTATGCCCAATCTCTAATCTCTTTGGACTAAAATAATACAATTTGTTCAAAAGGACAACTATCTGTTGCAATCAACCCATTTGTCTATCTCTTGAAATCATCTCATTTCTTGAAATCATCCAACTTGCCTATCTGTTAAAATTCACCAAAGCTATTTTCTTATTTATTGAAATTCAGCAAACAATCTATTTGTTGAAATGTGACACATGTCACTCCGGCGACTTTTTCAGCACCAATGACTTTTCCGACTTATCTTTACAAACATAAAAGTCATGCAACTTTTGGAAAAAATTTGAATAGTTATGTCCAATCCAAAAGACATACCTCACATGAAAAGTGAGATACCAAATTTACCAAAAGTCATAGCCCTAAAATAAACTAAGACATAAGGGTTTGAATTTTTTCAGAGCCAATTGGTCAGTGTACAAACTTGAATAGTCAATTGCTTGTTCGGCTCTGTTTGATGAATCTAAAACTACCAAACTACTTCAGGTCAGCTTGAGAAAAACTCATTTGATATCGACTCGAAAATTTAATGAACCAAAGTTGAAGAAATTTTAAAATTCGCTAAAGTTATCAAAGCAAGTTATAACAATCAACTGTTCAGCTCGTTTATTATCCCTAAAGAGGGTTTAAATAGGACTACAACTATTTGTCTTCTCATTTTACATCCCCTCCATACCTTATTCTCTCTACTACTTACAACACAATTTTGGAAGCAATTATTATATATGTAGAATCACTTGAAAATAAAATAAAATAAACACTCTAGAGGATTCATGCTTCGTCTGTGATGGGTGGCTGTAGGCAAAAATCTCAGTATAGAATTTTCAAATGTCTATCAAAATTAATGAATTTACTTGAACCAGACTCTCTTGTGATGTATTTGCCCTAGAGTTCTTTCTTTTCAAACATGTACATTTCTCTAGTCCCTCAAAATTATGTTTATTTTTGTCGTGGGTGGGAAGCAAAAGTATCAGTTCAGAATTTCCAAACATTTACATGTCATTCAACAAAAACCAAGATAATCAATTTTATCATTATATAGTCTCATGACACTAATGTCTAAGACACATTTCACTTTCCATTATTATCAACATGGCTTAGAACCTGGCCAAACTTACAACAGTGAATTATATATCATATTCACATTACTTCCAATATCAACAAAACAAATGAGACTCATAAAAACGAAGAAAAGTTGGAGGAAAAAATTTAAGAGAAAATTTATTTAGTAGAACAAAATAAAATCACGTCATAGACAAGTTTTTTCAACATATTTTTTTATTAAAATTTAGTTAAATTATACATACATATATATATAAGTGTATATAGATATTTTTAAAAAGTATATAATTTTTATTAAAATTATATTTAATGAAGATACTATAACTAAAAATAAATTTAAAATAGAGATAGGTGATCAATTGCAATTGTCACTTAGGAATGACACTTCAAAATTAATTGAGAGAGTTGAGAATTTAGAGAGAATGAGAGTTTGAGAGACAGATTTGTTTGTGAGAAATAAAATGTGAGAGAGGTGGTATTTATAAGACTTAGGAGGAAGGGGTTAATTTATATATATAAAAATAAAAATAAAAAATAAAATTGGTTATTGGTGGAATTAACGGTTATATGACTCTTTCAAATTGTTTTGTTTTAAATTTTTGACCATTGCACTTACAGGGGGGCAGGGAGCTTTGGGGTCGGGTCGAGCCAGATAGGGGAGAAAATTTTGGGCCGAGCTCATAGGATGGGTCACACTTCATAACACACCAGGGTCAGGCCGGGCTCTAGAACACATATCTTAGGTTGGGTTTAGCCTCGAGCCTAGTTGGGCCTACCTAGGACACGAGCAGACTTGGGGTGTGCCGTTAGCTCGTGAACCAAATTTACACATATGTTTCAAGATAATTTTCTTCTTCTTTTGTGCTAGCTTATTATTTTCCAAAAAAATTCAAAATATAATAAAAATGTGGGAGTGGATTTTCCAAATGATTTGAGCCAACATCAATCAATATGTTATAGTTACATGAAGTTATATATCATAAAGTGAGTAAGTATAAATGACAACAACTATGGCTTTGGTTATTAGGACATATTGGTAGTTTACCCTTTTATTTGTTGTTGGATTCAATGTGATGATAATGAAAGCATTTTATTTTATTTTACTTAAATTACTTCAATTTTGACACATGGTGGCATAGGCAACATTAGAGCTAATTCGAAGTTCTGCTAAGCCAATTCTTGAACAATATAGATCAGTTATCTTATCATCTCTCAAGTTTTAAAAGTTGACTCTTGGTACTGTGGCTGCACAATTCACAGGTTTGTTTGATTTCTGTTTGATCTTTGATGAGGAAGTCGAGAAAAAAGAAAAAAAGAAAAAAACAAACCAACCAACAACCAGACACAACACCCAGAGCAAGAATACTTATGCAGAGCAGGCATCTGATATTACTGAGATGACAAAAAGTGCTATGGAAGCATGGCCTTGACTTAACACTGGCAGTGGCATCCGATAAGCCAAAAAATATCCTTAAAAAGA